ACGAATCTTCATGTCTTCTGCCTGCGGCTCTCAAACACACGAAAACGGTAGATCCTTGAGGGAGGGGGGGAGCATATATATATATATATATATACCATAGACGTCTGCTTCTATAGACATAGGTCAAGCATAAAAGTATGTATACAAATGCATATGACCATATGTGTATGTGAATGTGTGCATACATAAACATAAAAAGTACAGTCTCACACACAGAGAAAAAAAAATATATATATATATATGTACACACACACACACCTATGTGTTGTATGTGCTGGCTCGTTGGGCGACACTGCCGCTGAAATACGGCCACACACCTACTTGGAAAATTCAGTTGCTCTTGCCATGGCTCTGCAAAACCTCTGTTCCTCTCAAGCCACCTCCGCCAAGATCAAAAGGAGCCGAACCTCTGCACCCCTCAACTGCTCATCCAGCCCTCAGGTTTGAGTCCTTACGGCTCGAAGCGCTCGCTCGTAGCTGAGGCACGACTCCGTCTTTCGAGGAACCTGGCAGGCCCCAAAGCAACGGCTCGGAGATTCTGTTGACTATGGGGGGTGGACCACGTGGCTTGAGGCTTGATGGGTCAGAAGGCTTGAAGTGAAGCTTGCAGCGAGCTGCAAGGCTTAATGTTAAAGAGCGTTGTAGGGACGGTCAAAAGTGATCGAAGTTTTTCCGAAGTGCGCTCGGACTGTGGCAGCGGCATGCACACTGCTCGTGGTGTGCGTAGAAAAAGCTTCTCTTTGACATGAGTCAGGGCTCCAGGTTGAAGCTCTCTTGAGCGCTGGGTTGTGGGATTGTCCAGTGATGGGAAACCGTAATTCACAAAACCGTAAATCCTGACCCAAGGAACTGCAAGACACGATCGACGATAGCATTCGGCTTGGACTTGCCCTTGCGCACCGGTGCCTGGAGGAACCTGAGCTTTAGGAGTCGATGGCTGCAACACAGTATAGGGTTTCGGATGTCTTGCTATAGATGCGGAATTTTCCGGATCGGGGTCACGGCTTATGGGCCTCAGGGCTGGGCCTTGTCGGGTTCAGGGAAGACCATCTAGTCTACGAGATTTTTCGAACGCCTCAGCTGATCGGTATGCTCTCCCATCATGCGGTTTTAGAAAGCCTGACTCAGTTCTTGATAGTTCATGCTTGGGCACGCATTGTGGCGCTCACACGCAAACGCCGCCCTGGAGGACATTCTAGGTGGGGGAAGGCTCATAGCTCAGAGTGCCGGGTGCCCTGAGACTCTCACTTGGTGGACACCTTCGGCACGCTACATTCTGACTCTCAACACCGAGGCTTGATTTGTAGCCAACTAAACACTTATCATAAAGCCGAAATCCCAAGCTTTAAACCCCAAGGCCCCAAAAACCATAAACCCCAAACCCATGACTCCAACTCTGAAGGCACCCCTCGGCAAAGAAATGCCAGTTTGGGCACAGAGAGCCGTGCTAAACTCCCTTGTGGAGGCGTCTGAGCCTCTGACGCACCACCTCAGGCTCTGTATACTACACAATGATGACACACAATTACCTAGACTCAGATGCACGTGTCTGATAGCAATGCTTTAAGCGAGTCTGCCGTATGCACACTGTCCCCTAGGAAAGCCCAGAAACTCCTCTTGGAAGTCGGATCCGGAACTGATAAGCTCGATGACATCTTCCACATCCGACTCCTGTGCTCTTCCATGGGAATGGCTTGCAGTCTTGTTATTGTCGTCTCTCAGCTTGGAAGAAATCTCTTCTACTCTACTCTACTCTGTTCCAACCTTCCTAGCATGATATGGTATTATATTGATTTGTAATAATGATATATTTAAGAGGATGTTTGGAAGAGATTTAGCTTTGAAGGTTGGGAAATTGGACTATGGTTTGGTATAGGTCGGTGATCCCCGCGATGTGAACCCCGTGCAAAACAAACCAAGAAGCAAGCAAGCAAAGAAACTCACACACACACAAGACAGACAGACAGACAGACAGACAGACAGACAGACGGACAGACAGACAGACAGGCAGGCAGGCAGGCAGGCAGGCAGGCAGGCAGGCAGGCAGGCAGGCGAGAACGATGAAAAGAACAAAAACAACTTGCAGGACTAAACAACAGACGCAAATCAAAAAAAAAAACCAAGGAACAAAAATACCAACAAAGCAATCACGACGCAAACAAAGGGATTGGGCCATGCCGAGAAGGATAAGTAAAAGCTGGTCTTTGATGAAGTCTCATGGGAAACCCACAGGTCAAAGGTCAAGTCCGGAGCCCTCCTACGAACACCCTCAGCCCTTCGTTCGATCTGACATAGTGAGTACTGTACCATCCAAGACACCCAAATGCCAACCCGTGCGCAAAGCCAACCCGGCAAACTCTAAATACCTTTTACACAGGCTTGATTGGAGCTCGCCCGGCCAAGTTCCCCCGCAGCACATCGCACTCGTGGCGAGATGCGCAAGGCTAAGCACGCACAATCCTCATCATAAATACCTTCTTGCTTCAGGCTTGCAAGCAAGAACGCCTGGTGGTTAGCCACTCGTCCGCCGACTAACACTGTACTCGTGACAGTGCTTCCAGCTTCCGAGCATGCGACTGAGGAACTTGACTGAAAAGGCACACTAGTCCGAACTTGTCATAAGCATGTTGGTGAATATCTCACACATAAATACCTAAACCCTGAACGCCCAAAATTGGATCCCAAGCAGGAACACCTTCAACACATAAAGCCTAGCATCCAAGAACTTATCCCTCAAGCTCTCAAGCCTGAAAGCCTTAACCCAAAGCTTTACACCCCGCACATGTTGTAAAACCTACAGCGCGCTGATAAACCCTAACACCGAAAAGCCCGACTCCCGCTCCAGAACGGAACGGCGGAGCTCTGCTTTTGCACGCGCCTCGCTCAGCCGGATCAGGGCCTGCGGGGATTTCAGGCAGAGTTGACCCGATGATGCTACCATGGCTTACTTCTTCGTACAGCCGCCCACACCAGGTTTGGTATGATATGGCATGACATACCTGCCAAGACGCAAGTTGACGTAGCTCACGACAGAGTTGTGAGTTCAGAACATCACAGGATTGGTCTTGAGGCATTGGCCTTTTCTCAGGGCTCTTGAAGACTGGGAGATTGGGGTATAGTTGATACGTATAGGATAAGAGGATGCTTTTTGGCCTGGCGGTTCTAGCTTGTTTTTTGGAATTCCGCACCTTTCGAGCTTCAGGGGCACAATTACGGATTCTAGGAGATCGTCGGCGCAGGTACACTAGGCTTGCAGAGAGCTCCTTACTTTCAAACTCAGGGCACGTAGGTTTCACGGCTCACAGGCGCAGGGTTTCGATTGGCTTCCTGGGTTGGATTTGTAAAGCCTACATCAAGTCGTCAGAACACAGGGAGCCAGGTATTTTCAAACAGTTGTGTGGTTTTGAAGGTTTGAACTGGGCCTACACTAAGATGATTAGACTCTTGTATCACAGGCTTTCGGAGTAAGGGCGGCTGGCTATGGCACAACGAGTACGCTCACGATTTCCCCTGATGACATGAGCAACCACACAACGGGAGTTCGCTCCCTGGCCCTTGTCAGATTCAGATGTTGTTGTGCATTCCTCCAGCAGCCGTGGCGTCACCAACACAGCGCCACCGGCCGCCCGGCGCTGCATGTAGTAGTCCTGTCAAGGAAGATGGCCGGAGTGCTGCCGAATCTCCAAAAAATTTGGTGCCCTCCGCCCCTTCCCCGCCGTTCATCTATCTGCTAGGAGCTAGTTGTGGCTCGCTGTCCCGCAATACAACTCTCGGCCAGCTCGAGCCCCAAACACCCCGAGCTGCTAAGCCGTAACATCGCTAACGCTTCCCTGAGCCTAAACTTTAAACCCTCGTGAGCCCCAAGCCCATAAACCGTAAAGCCCCAAACCCCATAACCCCGAACCTCCGACCCTGAGCGCCAGAGCATCCTTGATGCGAGCACGCGCTGCTCTGCTCAGGGTCGGCTGCGCATACTTCTTGGCCTTAGTTTATCGGGGGTCTATAGATTTTCTGAGAGCTTTACAAAGTTGTCAATGCGATTTTCCGAAAATCAGTGGATCGTGAAAGCAAAGGCTGTAAGGATTCTACTGTTAAGAGTTCTTTGTTGGGCCTCCCTTGTTTTCTTGGGAGCCACCAGAAACAACAAGCCTGATGCAGAAACATACAAGTCTTCGTATGAGCTGAAACTCCCCCAAAGAAGGGAAGCTCCTCACCGCAGTCCACGGGGCTTCAGAGCCACACACCCTCGAAGCCCCTGAACACTTTCTGAATGCAACATCCCGTCTTGTGTGCCACCCCTGGTTCTGTGGAACCCCGTGGCATATCGGAGATAGGTCTGCAGCAGTTCGGTGGGCAGCGGCTCCAAGCCAGGACGGCTCAGACGCGCCTCTGGCACTTTGGCTGCCCGTGGCAGCTAACTGTGAATCTGATCACTTAAAAAGTGAAGGCGGCTCATGCTTCTAGTGTGCATGATTGTGTGCACTGAACACAACAAGTAAAGCCGTGATAACAGAGACAGCCTTAACGCAGAAGGATGGATGCTGTGACTGATCGTGGTGAGTGTGAAGGAGAGGTGGGGATGATGATGATGATGATGATGGAGAAGATGTTTATGGTCAAGATGATGGTGATGAAGATGAAGATGATGATGGTGGTGTTTGTGGTGGCGATGATTTTGATGGTGATGCTGATGATGAAGATGATGGCGATGAAGTGTGTAGTCGACGTAGCCAGGTTTGCTCATGCATCAAATTGGCTTCTGGGGGTGCTGATGTGTCGCAGAGAAGCCTCAAGCATCCCTGCATGAGCCCTGCGTGCGGGAAGAGGTCCAATAGCAATAGCATGCAATAGCTATGGCCAGCTGAGTAGTCGTCGTCATCGCCGTGGGTGGCTGATGCAGCGGTTGCTGTGGTCGTTGCGGCAGCAGCAGCAGCAGCAGCAGCAGCAGCAGCGAACATGATCATGGCAGGTGTAATCGCGCTTGCTATTGATGTTGGTCTTGTCGTCATAAGTTTCGATCCAAACGTTACGGCCCTGAGTACTCATACTGTTTTCACAATAGAATCATACACGCTTTTAGATACGTTCGTATGTAACTGTATGTGTATGCATGCATGTGTAAGCATATCTACACCCATGACAATACACGGTAAAATGAGCACCAAACATTCCCTTGCCATAACGCATGTAATTTCATACAAATGCACGGTGATGCGAGGCGGGTGTACGTAATATACAACACTGCAAGCAGAGGGACTTGGGGGTTGTCTCGTTCGGGTGTTTAGTTTGTCGCGAGGACGTGGGATCCCAAGGGTGTCCGACTGCTCTTGCGGCTTGTTGTGTGGGCTGTGAGATTTCAGCATAATTATATTCAGAGTTGCAGAGATTTGGCAGATCGCGGGCCGTTGGCTTTAGGTGTGCGTCGTTTGCAATTTCATGGCAGATATCGGGTCAAGCTTCAAGCTTTCGAAGTCCCTGTAGCAAACGTGGTGCTTCTAGTAGTTGTTGCGACAAGGGGGGGACTCTGATTCAAGGACTTTTGTCACTCGCAACTCGGTGAGAATTCAAGGCTAGCAGAAAAGACGTACAGATTCAAGGCTGACGGTCTCGCAACCCGGACTCCGCCAGACGAGGTCTCTCGGTTCGACTACTCACAACGGGAGCAAACGACCAGCTCAGATCAGGATGGCACTACCGGAATATTCATGCACGTTCGCACTAGGGTTTCGGAATGTCAGGGTTGAGTTCTAGGTTTTGGAGCCTTACGGTTTAAGGACGCATGGTAACATTAGCAACACTACTGGAAAGGGTTCTCCTTGAAACTGAGGGCTCCTGATGCAATAGCCATCCCAAAACAACCTCAACCCCCGCCCAATGAGAACCTGGAAAATATCAACAATTGCAATTACAACAAGCTTTTGGACCTACAGCCCGAACTCCACGCACCCTGAAACCTCAAACGATTCACCCAGAAAAACACAGATCCAGGTCCTGAGCCCTAAACATCGGAGACATCACGAGCCTTCAGGCTGCACCGGTTTGCCTCCACGTCCGCGCTGTTGGACCAGTCCTCCACTTGGCCTGAGGGGAGAAGGGTTTTGTTGCGAGCTCCCTGGACCAGGCTTTGGTCCAGGTGTTCTTTCCGGTCCAGGGTCCAGGTATGGGAGAAGAGGCTTTAGATGGCTTTAGGGTCTGATGGCTTTGGGCCCGTCAACCTGAACTTAGTCAGACTTAGTGCTTCGAAGGTCGGCGTTCGGGGTGTCGATCTTTCGATATCTCTTCCGGCGTTTCGGGTGGCAGGATTTCGCTTCAAGGAATCGTAGCGGTTCACCTGGGGAGGAAGTGGCCCTCGCTCCGTGCATCCGCTGCTGCACGATGTGCCGGGACATGGCGGTGTCTTGACCGGGATCCTGGCGACCGAAGCGTCTAAGTTTTACTACGTTCCGCTCTTCCAGTTCGACTGATTTAACACAAACCATGAGATTTGGACCCTATTCACTACAGACGCCATGAGCCTTAACCCCGAACTCCGAACACAAAAGTAGCTTTGCACACTTCAGCTTGGCTTAGGCAATTCGAGAGGATAGGGGTTGTCCAAAAGTCGCAGGCAACTAGCCGCAGAGCCTCCTCGGAGCACCCGACTATGATTCACATCGACTGTTTGCCTACGGGCCTGCAATAGAACCCAAGGCCTTGGTGCTGTGCAGTTCTGTGCTACCGGGCCTGTGACCGTGCGAGAACCTTGGAACTAAATTTTTCGTGTTGCTAAACTTTCAGGGCCACGTAGAGTCAGCCTCAACTGTAACGGAGTCTTGCGTCCCTAACCCCGAGACTAGACCCTAAACTTACACCCTAATACCCCCCAACCCAAGTACCTGAAGGCCCTCAACCCGCAAACCTATGTACAGCCCCAAGAAAGTCCTCTGCCGTGCGCATGAGAAAGATCACGTCAAAACGGCTCAAAAGTGCTTCGGACATCACCCCTTTCCTGAGCTTCGGTTTGACGGTGTCAGGTTTGTTGGGGTTTAAGCTCAGTCTGCTAGGGCCCCTCAAAAATTCCTGGTTTGGGGCTCACAGGGAGTGGGGAACCTGGAGCTTGGAGCTCCCAGTTCCGATCAGATGTTCGATGCTTGCTGGAGTTAGTGTAGGCAGGGGCTGAAGGCTTAGGCCTCTTGGCGCTAATCTCCTGGTCGGATGTAGGGCCTCTCGCGACTGCAAATTGCACCTGGTCCCTTCAGTTTGAAAGGCTCGCTGCTGAAATCAGGCAATGCTAAATCACACCTCGGTCGCCAGACACAACTCCTCAATCCATGAATCCACCGGTGTCCCTATCAAAACATCCTTTCGATTCGGCTACATGCGCTGCCTGCCAGAGTACCTATGAAAACCACGCAGCACAAAAGGCCCCAAACCCCTCCCCAAACAACCGTGCTGAGCATGTTTTGATCCAGCTTCAGGTTCTGCGCCAGCGTCAGACTCATGTCCCAGGACCTTACTTTACTCGCCAGGCAAATTCTCAGTCAAGCTCGACACGGACAAAGCCCGACAAAACCAGTGCAGTTTTCAATCTACATACCTGACTGCAACCAAAACGAAGGCAAAAGAAGACTTGTAGAAGAAAAAGCGGCCCTTTGCTGGGATTCGCCGCAGTGACGACTGTGGTCCGGGCGGGCAGCGTGCAAACGATCCCGGCCTTTGCAATGGACACCGTCTGCTGCTCCATCGCCTCCAATAGCGAATGCTGGTCCTCAGAGACATCTGTCATAAAGGGGCCAAAGGAACTTCCATGCCGCCCAAATCTTTGAATCCTGCTTCATAGGGTTCGGGAGCTATTCAGAGTGTATATGCAACATATCCGATAGACAACGGAGTTTGGGGCTACGTTTTTGCAACTCCTGCTAGGGGTTCTAGAAAGGCTCCGGGTTTAGAGCCTTTGAGTCTGGGGTTCGGGCCTTGGGAGGCTTAAGGTTTCATTGCTTCGAGCTTGGCCGATTCTTATGGAGGCTGTGGTGATCTATGATTTCTATCCGAGCACCTTCTCTGGCCGCCAGAGGAATTTCTGGCCGTGGCCAAGGGGCCCTTCAAGCGTCAACCCACGCCCTCGCTCATCATTGACTTTTGAGACGGACCCTGACAAAGAAGAACCTGCTTGCACAACTGATGTCGACTCTGAAGCTGCTCTCGACACCATCCAGTTGAGGCTTTCGGCGGTTTAGGGGCTTAGCGATGCTTCACGGCTCGGGTCTCTGAGCTGTAAGCGAGCAGGATGAGCAGGTTGCACTGGCTTCTCTTGCTTCTCAGTCTCGCCTAGAAAGGCTTGAGGCTTGGGTTAAATCTTGAAGCCCTGGAATCCGGAGGTTGCGAAAGCCGTAAGCACTATACACCCTATGCAGTTTCCTGCTTCGAGTCTGGATTCGGGCTTTAAGCGTTAGACCGTTAGGTCGCGCGTGCGTAGGGTGTATAGTGCTTACGGCTTTCGCAACCTTCGGATTCCAGGGCTTCAAGATTTAATAATAGGGACCACCACCGAAACCGCGAGAGACCTGTAAAGCCAAGTCGAAGACACCACACACCAAGACGAAACCAAGGAGTCACATGGCCCTGAACTATGAGTATCCGGTAGCCCCCTGGTCTAGGTCCCGAAAGTCCACGGTTCGGTTGTGGAGGCCTACATCTACAAAGTTCCAAGACATGCAAAACTTCAAACACACTACACAGATAACCCCAGCTCCCTCTGCCCGGAAGTCCCAGAAACCGCTCCTGGCCCATCTTGTCAAACTCGTCGATACAGCAGAGGCCGTTGTCCGCCAGAATGAGAGCTCCGGCCTCGAAGTTGGGGCTTTCCTACACTTGGAGCTTACAGGGGAGGTATGTATCTCTGTATACACATACGGCATATGGTACATGCTCAGATACGGAACGTGCTGTTTGGAGTTTGTGCCTGCTAGATCCACAAACTGCCAAAGCGGGGGGAAGCTTCATCCGCTTGCGTATTGACCTAATTGCCAGCAGTAGTGGTGGTGAGAGCCGTAGTAGTAGCAGTAGGGGTAACAGCAATAGTAGCAGTGGCAGCAGCAATAGCAGTAGGGGTAACAGCAATAGTAGCAGTGGCAGCAGCAGCAGCAGAAGAGGAAGTAGTAGTAGTAGTAGTAGTAGAAGTAGTAGTAGTAGTAGTTGTAGTAGGAATGGTAGTAGTAGTAGTAGTAGTAGTAGTAGGAACAGTAGTAGTAGCAGTAGTAGTAGCAGTAGTAGTAGTAGTAGTAGTAGTAGTAGTAGTAGTGGTAGTAGTAGTACTAGTAGTAGTTTTTTGGCTCCCGCGGGGCAGCATCCGAAGGCATTACGTAGCAGGT